TTCTGTGACCAATGTTGAAGAGGTTACTGCCTATGTTCTTCTTTAGGATTTTGATGGATTCTTGTCTCACATTGAGATCTTTCATACATTTTGAGTTTATCTTTGTGTATGGTGTGATAGAATGGTCTAGTTTCATTCTTCTGCATGTGACTGTCCAGTTTCCCCAGCACCATTTATTGAAGAGACTGTCTTTTTTCCACTGGATATTTTTTCCTGATTTGTTGAAGATTAATTGACCATAGAGTTGAGGGTCCATTTTTGGGGTCTCTATTGTGTTCCATTGATCTATGTGTCTGTTTCTGACTTCATCAAGATAAAAAGCTTCTGCACAGCAAAGGAAGCAGTCAACAAAACTAAAAGGCAAACCACAGAATGGGAGAAGATATTTGCAAGTGACATTTCAGATAAAGGGCTGGTATCCAAGTTGTATAAAGAACTTATCAAACTCAACACCCAAAAAACAAATAATCCAGTCAAGAAATGGGCAGAAGACATGAACAGACACTTGCCCAAAGAAGACATACAAATGGCTAACAGACTCATGAAAAAATGCTCAACATGGGCACTTTGGTGGCTCTGTCATTAAGCTTCTGCCTTTGGCTCAGGTCATGGTCCCAGGGTCCCGGGGTCCCAGGATCGAGTCCCACATCAGGATCCCTGCTCAGCGGGAAGCCTACTTTTCCCTCTCTCACTCCACCTGCTTGTGTTCCCTCTCTCGCTGTGTCTCTCTCTGTCAAATAAATAAAATCCTTTTTAAAAAGGCTCAACATCACTAGCCATCAAGGAAATACAAATCAAAACCACAATGAGATACCACCTTACACCAGTTAGAATGACTAAAATTAACAAGACAGGGAACAACAAATGTTGGCAAGGATGTGGAGAAAGGGGAACCCTCTTACATTGTTGGTGGGAACGCAAGCTGGTATAGCCACTCTGGAAAACAGTATGGAGTTTCCTCAAGATGTTAAAAATACAGCTACTCTCTGACCCAGCAATTGCACTACTAGGCATTTACCCCAAAGATACAGATGTAGTGAAAAGAAGGGGCACATGCACCCCAATGTCCATAGCAACAATATCCACAATATAGGCTAATATTTCACAAAACTGTGGAAGGAGCCAAGATGTCCTTCAACAGATGAATGGATAAAGAAGATTTGGTTCATATATACAAAGGAATATTACTCAGCCATGACAAAGAATGGATACCTACCATTTGCATCGACATGGATGGAACTGGAGGGGATTATAAGTGAAATAAGTCAAGCAGAGAAAGACAATTATCATATGGTTTCACTCCTATGTGGAACATAAGGAATAGTGCAGAGGACCATAGGGGAAGGGAGGGAAAACTGAATGGGAAGAAATCAGAGAGGGAGACAAACCATGAAAGACTCTGGACTCTGGGAAACAAACTGAGAGTTACAGAAGGGAAGGGCTGGGGGAATGGGGTAACTGAGTGATGGATATTAAGGGGGTCATGTGTTGTGATGAGCACTGGGTGTTATACACAACTAATGAATCGTTGATCACTACACCAAATACTAACGATGTACTAGTTGGCTAACTGAACATAAAAAAACAAAACAAAACTGTTGCCTATGGATTTTTCCCTTAGATGGACCATTCTAGAAAATAGATGGGGATGGTTGGCAAGGGCTCTCCAATTATTTCTGTCATAGATGGAAACTTCTGAAGGACTCTGGGAGTAAGGTACAGGGAGTTAAGAGTGGAACCAGTTTGTTTTTCTAAGTCTTTAAACAACTTTCTGGGACTCCTATCTTATTTATTTCATTTATTTTTATTTCTAAGAAGTTAAGCAAAGATCAGCTTCAGCTCAGCCTGCCTAATGATCATTTATTGGAAATTGAGTTCTTTTCTGGATAAAACTGCCCTTGTAGATTATGATGATAGCTGGTCTGAATTTCATATTTGTTAGCCAGAACCATATAATATATTTTTGTAGACCGCTTCAAAACCCCTACCCTTCATAAATTGTTGCATGGTATTTCAATCCTGCCTCTGCCATTTACTAGCTGTTTAACTTAGGCAAGTTACCACTCCTCATCTGTTAAAGGGAGATAATTATAGTATCTTCCTCATAAAGTAATTGTGATGAAATTCCATAAACTAATACATGTAAAGGCCTTGAGATAATGCCTGTTACTTAGTAAGTTCATGCAATGTGATGATGATGATGATCATACAAAATTAACCTCTTTGTAGGTCCAAGATCTTTGTCTGGTTTCTCCCAGAACACATTTAGCATGTTGGATAGGACTTTGGGCTTCTATTACTCTAGGACATCTGTAGAAACTAAAAGATATCCTTAGGCTAATATTTACTTTGTTACATAAGTCGTCCCTCCGTTCACACAAGCTCACCATGTTATTTCCCATCTCTGCATGTTTACACTTATGTTCTCTCCTCTGCCTGGAAGACTTCTCTGACTACTGATCTTATTATCCCTTATGTTGGCTAACTGAACATAATGAAAAAATTTTTAAAAAGAGTCTTATTTTTTTTACTTTGCATTTAAAATTTTATTCTTAAACATTTTTAAAAATTGAAAGTACCAAAGTCAAAGAATAGCCTGATGTTCTTGTAACCCATCCAATCATTTTATTCTTAAAAACTATTTTTCTTCCCTTACAAACTATACTGGAATTAAAACAAAAAACTTAATGAAACAATAATATGAAATCATAATGAAATAGAAAATGATGTTTAGATTGTAATATTTCTTTTGTGTGTGTGTGTTTTATTTTTTGATTTTTTAATTTTTTAATTTTATTATGTTAGGTTAGTCACCATACAATACATCATTAGTTTTTGATGTGGTGATCCACGATCCATTGTTTTCATATAACACCCAGTGCTCCATGCAGTATGTGCCCTCCTTAATACCTATCACCAGGCTAACCAATCCGCCCTCCCCCCTCCCCTCTAAAACCCTGTTTGTCTCTCTGAGTCCATAGTCTCTCATGGTTCATCTCTCCCTCCAAATCTCCCCCCTCATTTTTCCCTTCCTTCTCCTAATGTCCTCCATGCTATTCCTTATGTTCCACAAATAGGTGAAACCATATGATAATTGATTTTCTCTGCTTGACTTATTTCACTTAGCATAATCTCCTCCAGTCCCATCCATGTTGATGTAAAAGTTGGGTATTCATCCTTTCTGATGGCTGAGTAATATTCCATTGTATATATGGACCACATCTTCTTTATCCATTCATCTGTTGAAGGGCATCTGGGCTCTTTCCACAGTTTGGCTATTGCGGACATTGCTGCTATGAACATTGGGGTGCATATGGCTCTTCTTTTCACTACATCTGTGTCTTTGGGATAAATACCCAGTAGTGCAATTGCTGGGTCATAGGGTCACTCTATTTTTAAATTTTTGAGGAACGTCCACACTGTTTTCCAAAGAGGCTGTATCAACTTGCATTCCCACCAACAGTGTAAGAGGGTTCCCCTAAAAGAGTCTTTTAAAACATTGCCTCTTCTGTGAAGTTTCTTGTCCAGCTTGTTGGAATAAACTTTTCTTTTCATGGCCTAACTTTCAAAATTCCTTGTCTTGGAGATGAGAAGTCATGGCATCACCTGTACCTTCTCTGGCTATTCATGACTCATTGGATAAATTTCAAACCCTCAACATAGTATATAAGACCTTTCCCACTTTGGTCCCCTCTTACCTATCCTACTACCATTTTTTTAGTTATTCTTTCCTTTGCTCACTCAGTTCTAGGCCACATGAATCTCCTTATGTTCCTGGAATATAACACATTCTTTGCCATCATGGAGCCTTTTAAACATGCTGTTTCTTCCGCTTGGAATGGCCTTTCACCAGTTATTCATTTGGTTCACATCTTCTCATTCTGCAGATAGTCTTCAAAAGTTACTTCTTTTGAGAGGCTTCCTTGACCTATCCAAGCCTGGTGGATTATATTTCTCTTCTTATGTGTTCTCCCAGCCTTCTTTGCTTCCACCTTTTTTGTCATATTTACCCACAACTGTTTGTTTAATAACTACTTTCCACCACACTGCAAGTTTCAAGAAGGCAAGCATTGTTATGTGTCTTGTTCATCTCTGTATCCTGAGTGCCTTGCACCATGCCTGATACTTACAAAACATTCAACATATGTTTGTTGAATGAAAAAATCTAGTCCAGCCTCATTGTAAAGATGAAAATATGGAGGCCCATAGAGGGAGAGGGATTTACTCAAGGTCACACAGAGAACCAGTGGCAGAGAAAAGACTGTATCCCAGGATTTCTAACTTCTGGTGAAATTCTCTTTTCTATACATGCACCTCCACTACAGTACTTGTTACTTGTACATACTTATGTGAATTCGTTGAGGGAAGGGACCACATCTTAAACATGTGCTATCTAATTAGCTGCTAGCTACATGTGGCAATTGAACTGGAAACATGGCTAGTCCAAATTGCAATGTACTATAAGTGTAAAATGCACACTACATTTCAAAAAATGTAGAATATCTCATTAATAAATTTTTACATTGTTTATAGGTTAAGATAACATTTTGGATGCGTTGGGTTAAATAAAATATATTATGAAAATTACTTGCACCTACTTATTTTTCAAAATTTAATGTAGCTATTAGAAAATTTAGAGCTCACATTATATTCTATTGGATATATATTACTGGTCTTTTGTATAGTTTTCCCTCTTTGTACCAAACATAGAGCTTTGCAGCCAGTAAGGCTCAACACAGCCTGTTGAATAAAGTTGAGCTGTAGTTGGTAGGTTAATTGCTGCCACCTCTCTTGTCAATGTCACTGGGCTTGTGGGGAACATCACAGTAAATCTTCTATGCCCAGGCCCAGGTATACATGAAGTTTTTCCATCCTGGCCTGGAGGTGCCCTATAAATTGCATCAGCCTTTGGTTTCTTTACAGAGGAAGCCCCAGTGCAATCATATGCACAGCAATCACTGGGGTTAAGGTGGAGTGTGTAGACACTGGCCTCTTACACAGGAAGTGGCCTCAGCTTTGCGATTGTTCTTGGAGCCTTTTCTTGACAGGTTTCCAATAGAAGATGGGATTAAATGAGCAGGGAAATAAACTTGACATTAAAAGAAAGATTTCATGGAGATGAGGTAAGCCAAGGAATGTGGGGATTCCTATGAGGATTCCTTCTTTTGCTAGTGCACTGATACATTAGTTTATTCAACTTGCAGTTCTGGGGTAACTATTTCATGTATGGCCCTGTGAAGAAAAGAAGGGATCAGACATGAGTCTGACTTTGGGTAGCTCTTGGGAGAGACAAGCACATAAGTGTAGTATGAACAGGTTTTGGACACTAGAGACAAGCACAGCAGGGAGCAATTATTTTCAGTGGGAGGAGGGTGATCAGAGAAAGCTTTTCAGAGACCATGAACATCATTATTTTGTCTCTCCATCTTTTAAGATATAGCTAAAATCCTACCTTCCCAAGAACCACCTCCTTGTCCCCTGCCCTAGAACAGTCACACTCTTCTGACAGCACTTTGTATTTTTTGTCAAATTATCTTATACTGAAGAAAGACATAGTTCCTTGGGTGCATGCCTTCCCAAGAATCCTTCAATATGATGTGGTGGCTGAGGCTCAAATAGGCTGTACATGATTTTTCAAGGGCATATAGTTAATGAGTTACAGAGGTGGGTCTATAACTCAGGGGCTAAATCCTACAATGTAAGACACAATGACTCTGACTCAAAATTCAGTTGTTCTTTCCATTCCAGCACTGAGTGAATAAATGAATGTGTCTACAGTGTGGGACTCCAGCACTGCCTAACAGCTCTGTCCATCCAACTCTCTTCTCCCTCATCCCCCTTAATAGGTTTAACCAAGTCAAAAAGCATCCAAAATGAGAGAACTGTGAGTCTTTTGGTTGGACAACAGACCTAGAGGAAAGTTCCCTTTGTGCTATTGCTGCAAAGTTGGCCCTTCTCAACATGCTTTGTGCTTATGAGGTAAAGAGGAACTTCAAGGATCCCAATATCTTTGTTCTAATTCAGGTCTTCTGCATAGATGGCATGATTTTCAGGTCCTTCTGGCTCCCAAGGCTCTCTTTCATGGACATACTGTGTGGTTCAAGGTGATCACTATTAATTACTATTTTAGGTAAAAACATTGTCTCTGAAAGGCCCCTGTTAAAAAGCTAGTAGATTAACTGATAGGTGAAAAAAAAAAAGGAGTGGGCAGCTGAAATTACTCAATCTCTGTGAAGTAAGTAGAAAGGAGGGAGTCCCTCCCTAAGAAAGTGCCCACAGGACAATCCTGACTCCACCCCAAGCTTTTAGTCAGAAACGAAAAATAAAAAGGAACTGAATCTTTCTAGAAGCCATATCTGGGGAAACTGGTCTCAAGGACAAAGCCAATAAATTATATTCTGGTAGAAGGAAGTTTCTGCAGAGTAGTGTAACTGCAAGTGAATCTCTATCCCAAGCTGTCCCTAGTCTCTAGACCCTGCAACCACAAGGAAGCCCACAGTGCGGGAGGGGCAGGGATAGAGCAATTTATAAAGAAACCAAGGAATATTTGAGTTGGAGAGGCCACTAAGATCATCTAGTTGAGCTTCTGTTGATTAAATGGAAAACCAAAGCTAAGGGAGGAAACAGACCTAACAGGTCTAGGACTGGGGCACCAGACTCCTGGCTCCCAGCATATAGTCTTTTCTCTTGAACCTTAATTTATAAGACTGTATGTAGCTTGGATAGATTGATTATTCACCAGGGTTTGAGCACTGCATAGGGTCCTACTTCTGTTATGTAGATTAAGGACTGGGACTTGAGCACTGCAATCATTGAAAGCAATCACAAGTATACCCTAAAATCATTGAAAAATTGCCTCTCCCTTCTGCCATGTTATCAGGATTCATGATGTAGAGCACTGCCTAATGGGAATCCAATGTCTTCCAGACTGTGAATGGGGACTGCCCAAGGATTGCAAACATGTGGCACTAGGAAGTCACTCTCTTTCTTCTCACACTTTTCATGAAGGCTGAATCTCACAGTTGAACTTAAAATGGTCTGGCACCATATTTTCCTTCTCAAGGTCAACTATTTCTTCTCTCCTTGTAGCCATTGTGGGAGAGTAGAAAACACTTAACATTTGGAGTCAAAAAGACCTGAATGCAAATTCTGTCTTCTCCATTTATTCTTAGTTTTGTGTTTATAGGCAAGTCATTTTACTTCTATGTGCCTCAGTTTCTTCATCCTCTCATAGGGATGGTAATACCATAACAGAGTTGATGATTAAATGAGATAATACATGTAAAGCACATAATCTTATTATTGATGTGAATTTCCTTCTTTCCTTCTTTCTGTAAGTGGCTGGATGCCAAAATGTGATCTGTGGCCAGAGCTGTGCCAGCAAGGGCCCGCTTCATAGGCATGTGACCTGTAAAGTTTCCCAAGTCTCCATGCTTAGGAAGACCTCACACAATATGGGTTAATGTTCTGCTGTCACCATCTTGAAATTCTTATTTTTTTTTAATAAGAGGCCCCTCATTTACGTTTTGCACTAGGTCCTGCAAATTATGCAGCTGTGCCAGATGAGAAGCCATGTCAAAGGGAAGTAAAAAGGGTATTTCAGGACCAGGAGGCATTCTGACAATGAAAGAACCCATGCTTTGGAGTTGATAGAAGTGGATTTATATTCCAGCTATGCCACTAATTTGTTTTTTGATATCAGGAATTTTCTTTCGTCTCTCAGAAGGTCTGTTTCTCAATTTTGACAATGTGGATTTTCAATTGATAATGTCTCAGCTGTGACATCCCAGGATTCCCTCATTAACATTGGGAAAAGTGTTAATGCAGCATGGAGCTCCCTCATTGCAGCCTGGAGAACCAGTATCTGTTGGAGGTCAGCTATGAGTGGGCAGGGGGTGGGGTGGTGCATGGCAGTGGGAACTGTTGCTGCAGTAGCGAACCCTTTCACAACAGCACTGTTTTGTCATTTTGCACCCAGATTTCCGTTGGCTAACCTCAGCCTTATCTTCCTCATTTCTGTTTCCTCTTGAAGACACCAAAGGCCCTTCAAAACACACGACCTTCCTGCTCCAGGCAAAAAGCCCAGTTACCTCTGGCCCCTGCAGTTTGGCTCATCACCAGGAAACTTTTGCCTCCTTTGAGACCAAGAGACCACTCCAGTAACAGGTATAATATCTATTTGTCCTCTCTGCTTGGATTCCCAAGCTGGGGCAGTGTCCATGGCTACCAAACATGGCTTGGACCTGCCTTTCCCATTCTCCTTATACTCTCCTCAGGGATCCTGGGTCAAGGGTGGGTGAGAAGAATGTTCCCAGTGGTCTTCTATCCTGAAACTTCTAATAGTGAGAAAGGAGGATGACATTTCTTCTTCAAACAGGCTTTTTAAGAGATAGCCACATGGAAGTGGAATGTTCTCTGGACTCAGGGGTCAGGAAATTTGAGTAGCAGCCCTGATTTTGCCATTTACCTAAAGACTCTTTTTGTTTTTATATCCCTTATTTTGATGGTTGTCAACTCTCAGTTGAGAAAGGACATAAGAGTGATGCTGAGTAAATATCTCTGGGTGGGGCTGAATGGGGGGATGAACCATGCCTAAAAAATTTCCATACTGCCTCCAGTATGTATGAGGAGGCCCAACTGGATCAGGTGCAGGGCAACTCCTGCTTTTTGTTGTGTTAACCCTGCAAGGGTAGGTCAGGAGACAAATGATGTTGTTTTGTCTAGTATGACAGAACCAAGAGAAGAGCTTTCAGAGTTCCTTAATATCTCTATGTAGCTATTCACATCTTCTTCCTATGGGTCTGACCAGCCTTTCTCAACTGAACTTACTTTTCTTATATATACTTTTTTGGAGAGGCATGGACTAGAACATCAAGAGTGGAAATAAAACCTATTTGGTCTCAGCTTAGCCACTGACTCTTTCCATTAATACTGGGGTGACATGGTCTCTAAGGCTCTTCAACTTTGAGTGTATTAAGAAGAAATCTTTAGCCATTTTATATTTCTATCTCTTTTTTTATGAAGTTAGCAAGGGCTTTCAGGAGGCTGCAGACATCTTCAGTTTATCCAGGTCCTCACTGGAGCTGGTAGCCAATAAGGGTAATGATAGAAAAAGGCATCAGTCCAGTTCTCTCTGTCTTGCCATCCTGAACTCAAACTCTATTAATCAGCTTTCTTGGCTGGCCTCCACCCACAGCTCCAGGGACTGAGCCAAGGTGCCTGTGACCACCTATATGGGAAACTCTGGAAAACTCACCACTTTCCTAACAATTCTGCCAGGTAAGTCTTGTCCCCATTTCCAGAGAAGACAACTAAAGCTCAAAGAAAGACTTGCCCAATGCCATGATTGGTTAGTTGGTACCTAAGGCAGTGTTAGAATCCAAGTTTGTATGATTCTTTGCACTATACCATATATGGTGACCAAGATTGTTGCTTTGGCTGAAAGAACCACAATTCTGGGTGTCTTGAGGTGGATTGAATAGATAAGGGAAGTGAGGGGATGGGAAAAACTCTTTATAGACTTATATTTGAAGTCACTCCTAGATCTCAAACTGGAGAAGCATGTCACCCTCTCACTAACATACGTTAAACTAAAAGAATTGAGGTTTTGTTTTGTTTTTAAAAACTACTTTTTGTTGTTGTTGTTCCTGAAAGACAAGTCCCTCTGCCTTGTCTTAGCTGGGACAGGGCATTCTGACCTCATGGGGCAGTTTTCTATTCCTGAAAATCTTGCAATGTTTGCCACTTTACGAAAAGTGGCCAGTATTTAATATAGGCCAGCTACTTTCTCACAGATCAATTGCCACAGTAGGGAGGGTGAGACATTTGACACAGACAACCTGGAATTTTTATCAACAGAATCTGGGTGTTACCAAGGGAATTTCCCTAGAAGTTCCAGACCTGACCATGCTGCTGGCCGCTTCCTCATTTCCCTAATGGCTGTGGGTGGAAAGATCCCAGTGCCTAACTGCCAAGCCTACTGCTTGTCTTTTGCCATCCTTGTGGATGTGTCTCCCTTTTCTCAGAGAGATATTCATAACAAGGTGGTAAAAGAACCAATGAGGAAACCTGAAAGGCACAATGGGGTGATAGAGCACAGCCCAAACTGTACTGCTTGTATAAATTTTAGCAACTCTCTTCCTCAGTATGAACCTTTGTTTCCTCATTTATAATATGAGTGGGTAAGACTAGATGCTGATCATTTTATAGCTGCCATTCTTGAGTCCTGATGGGACAAGGGAGACCATGTTAGGAAAGGCTGAGGCCATAAAGCATTCCTGTTTCATCTGTCCTGACCCTGTTAAATCAATTGTCAATGGCTCTTGCTTTCCTTCTGGTAGCACAAACACCATTTTTTGAACATTTTTTTATGTATCAAATACTGAACTAAAAGCTTTATATACATTACCTCATGCCATTTTCAGAATAACTGATTAGGTAGGTACTCATACCCATTTTGTGGATGTGGAAAACAAGCTCAGAGAGATGAATAATTTATCTGAGGTTTCTTAGCTACTTAGTGACAGAGCCAAAATTCAAGCCTATGTTTAACCTCAAAGTCTATGTTCATAACCACAAGACTGTGGGAGGGTAAGGAAGGGCGGGCATGGACACTGACTCTGGGACCTAGTCCTTTCCTGAGGTCAGAGAGGTAGGACAATAACCAAATTCTTTCCCTACTGCATATAGGAGTCCACTGAAGCTTGGAACCCTAAGAAATGCCAGAGCTATAGTACTCAGGCCTGAGGACCCCAACTTGAACACTGGGACCTCATCTGTGATCTCAACTGGGCCTTCCCTTAGGATCCATCTTCTGGTTGGGAGCCTTATCCTTATTTTGTTCACTTCCCTATTCTGGTGTTTCAGCTAGTCCTTGTCCTCAGCAGTTTCTCTGGGGTTCAGGGTGTGACTCATTTTTCTTTCTTTCCCTCCAGGGCCACATCTCCCAGGAAGATCTTGCCTCCCCACTGAAGCCCCTGGCCTGGCCTCCTGCAGTGCCACGCTCCGTGTATTTGACAAGCTGAGTTGGACACTCCATGTGGTAGAGTGTCAGTTTGTCAAATACCCCAAGTGCGGCACATGCCTAACAGCTCCAGGCCAGGGCAGTTGGGATACAACAAATAAACTGCCAGCTGGATACACAATCACTTGCCAAACATGAACTAATCTGTCACAAGTTATTTTCAGTGACTCTGAGGGAGCTGAAGCATTGTATCTGAAGTTGCCAGGGGAAAAGTGAGGCAACTCCTGAAGCTATAGCCCTGTATTGTTTCTATATTGGCAGAGCCTGAGGGGGGCAAATGGTCTACCCTGAAAAGTATATAGGGCCCAGGGATGGAAGTGCTCTTTGATTCATATTTCCTTTCTTCACATTCCGCTACAGAGTCTACCAGTAAGGACACCAGAATTTTCACACAAGCTTCATGACAGGGCTTAGAAACCCACTTTCCTGATACTCAGCCTTGACATCGAAATGCATTTTGACCTTATCTATATTTTTTCTTCTTCATGTCTTTTTTCCTCTGGTTATACTTTCTCCATTTTTTTTCCTGCCTATTCAATTATTTCTCATACTTCTGGTCCAGCCAAAATCTAGTGTCTCCAAAGACTTGTGAAAGTTAACTTACACTTTTTTTCTTCTTCATTTGAACACTCCTTGCCTTGGTCCTTATATGTACCCCTTTCTTCTCCTATCGCCTAATAGCACCTCTTGAACTGTTAGTAAACTTTTCTAGGGGATATTTTTGAATTCCCCACTAAATTGTGAGGACAACACTATGTTTCCTTGATTGCTGTCTCTCCTTTCCATCCCTACCCAAGCAGGCAGATCAGTACTCTAGTTACAGAAAATAATAAATGTTTACTGATTGATTGACTTTGTACTAGACCATTATCCTTGGTTTTGGATCAAAATGCCATCCAGGAATTTTGTGAAAAAAATTAAACTGTGGTCATCATAATGCTATAGGATATGTGAGGGGTTTTCCTCCTGAGAAATAGAGTCAGGGCTGGAGGAGGAAGGCAAAAAAAGTAGACTCAGAGGACAAATATGTTTTGGAATTATTTGGTAACTCAAAGTTGTATAGGTGCTTTATTTCAGAACTTTCAGAGTCTTTAATATTCTAATGTTGCATTGGAAATCTCCAATAGGGAGCTATAGAATGAAACATTTCTCATGCCTATCTAATCATGGAATTTTTTTTCTGTAGGCCATCTCTTGGACAAAACTTGGAAAACTGTCCTAGAGGGACTTCGTATCTTCTCTCTCTTTTGGGAATCTTTTTCAGTCTTCCAGCTTTCCCTGACTAGCCATCTGCTTAAAACAATTATATATTATCATCCCATGTTTATTTAGCTTACCTTGCAGGTTTGGGCTAGCCCTATACCCAGGACTCTCTTACTGGCTTGTCTTGTATGGAAAAAAAAAGTATTAGTTTTTGGGCAAAGGTGATATCCAGAAGCTTTCTACTGCAATGAATATGCTCCTAGGAGTTCACAGACCTGTTTTCTGATCTCTGTTGTGTCATTGACTTGATGTGTGTGACTTTAGACTGTTACTGTTCCTCTCTAGGCTTTATTTCCTCACCTGTAATAAGGGAGAATTAAAATCAATGATCTCTAAGCTTTTTAAGGCAAGAGACTCTGAAATATCCCTGGGAGTCCATAGCTTCTATGGGGGTAACAGGGGAGTGTCCCTGGGTTTGGGGCTCCTTTTATTAATGGACATATGGTTAGGAGTCTCTTCTTTTTTTTTTTTTAAATTAGGTTGTCTTTTTACTAGGATTGCAAATAGCTTCTATGTTTTTTTTTTAAAGATTTTATTAATTTATTTGAGAGAGAGAGAATGAGAGCCAGAGAGCACGAGAGGGAAGAGGGTCAGAGGGAGAAGCAGACTCCCTGCTGAGCAGGGAGCCCGATGTGGGACTCGATCCCGGGACTCCAGGATCATGACCTGAGCCGAAGGCAGTTGCTTAACCAACTGAGCCACCCAGGCGCCCTTGGATTCTCTTCTTAACCCCAGTCATTCCTTTCTCCAAGGGTAGTAGGAAGAGATAATTGTTTTTCCTGAGGCTGTGGCGTCTGGACACAGCTGTTTTGTGAAGGCAGCTGAGGTTTCCCCTGGGTGGGTCCTTGTTTCAGAGGCTTGTAAGCATGATGGGGAAGAATAAGTTGCTCCTTTCACCAGCTACGTGAATCTAGCATATTGGGGAAAACACTGAGGTTTTGATCATGGACTTGGTGGGTAGATGGTGGTGAAGCAGAGGATTCTTTCTTGTTCATTTCTTTGTAGTATTTTGACTTCTGTAATCATCCAAAGAGAAGCTCTTGGTGAAACCTGAGCTGACCTTAGGACTGCACTGGAATCAAAAGCAGCAAAAACAGGTTCCATGAAGAGCAAGAGGTTGATTTGACATGAATTATATGCGGGAAAGGAAGTAGTGTTGAGCCAGCCTAGAACAGGTCCTCACAGAGGAGACTGAAATAAAGCTGTATGCATGTGTGCATACACACAAATGGACAAACACACACACACACACACACACACACACACACACACACACACACACCTACACTCTTATTTCCCATTTATGCTTGATGAAAAAGACTTCCTTGCTTTGACCCTCACTCTACATTGTAAGAAGATGCCAGGGGATAGAGATAACTTATGATGAATACAACTACTGCAAAGATTTTAGGATTCTAGGAGGTAGAAATCTTTGAGGGTGGTATATCCATACTTTGGAAAGAAAGGAGCCCTTTATCTCTGCATCCACAGTCCCCTGAAACAGAAGAAGGGATCCTTCATTTTCAGGTTTCCAACTGACTTAAGAGAGTCATCCAGGTGGAGTTGGCAGGGTTACAGAGAAAGGGATGGAAGACAGTTGGGTACTAACTTGCCAAACATTCATTGTATCCCAGATGGGTCCACCTCTGAAGTAAGGTAAAGATGGCATGGGTGGGAAAGAGAAAGACCAAAAAAGAAAAGGTGCTATTTTTAATTCCAAGTCCCCAAACACCTCAACTAGTCTCACTTTAATCACTTGGTAGGTACTTGAGAGAAGACCAATACAACCAAGGTTGCTATCATGATTAGATATTTATTGAGCATCAAAAGAATACCAGAGCACTAGACTCACAGTTCAGGAGCAAAACTGAATCCTAACCTGTTAGTTACAAATCTTATTTAAAAGCTATCTGGCCCTTAAAGAAAAGGGAAGTGATCCTGGAAACAACTGGTCCCCTGAGCTGGCAAAGCTGAGTTTCCCTCCGGTCTTCTGGTGGCAAGAGGCCAAAGTTGCGTGGTATCTGGAGGCATGATGACCAAGTCTTAATGCTATGGGAACTTCCCTCTGGTGTTCGAAGAGAAGCAGTAGAAGAAAGGAAAACAGAAGGGTCTAAGACCTTACCCAGTAGCAGTGCATATGGTAACTTCTTAGGTAAAACCAATCACTCTTAGGAACCTCAGTGTTGGACAGGGAAGACATGTTGGGTCATCCAGGAAGAGAGGTAGCAGGGAAGGTGGCTATGCAGAAAACAGGGGCTTAATAGGCAATTATATCAGCAGGCCCTGGCTTAGCAGGGCATTTTTAGCAGACGTCCTTGTCCTTGGTGTCCAAAAGCTCATAGTCTGGAGGAACTGTATGCAGCAGGTGAGCATAGTCATTGTTAATCTGGGCGATGATCTGGTACTCCTGGCCCAGGCAGGGATCCTCGGAGTAGTCATTGCCTGGGGTCTGGGAAGATGGCTCTTCGCTGGAGCAGCCACTTGTGAAAATGGCCACTCTCCAGGTTTCACCAGAATTGCTGGCCTCCCTGGCATGTGCCCTGTGGCCCAAGATCCCACCATCCGTAAAGAAGGAATTGAGGCTGGGATTCTAGTTTCCCACACTTCTGTCCCAATTCTTGCCAACTGACCCTTAGGTTCTTGCTTTATCAAGGGATTCTCGGAATAGTAGGTTGATGGACCTGGATTATCCTGTGTGATCAGTGAGCCAAGAAAAAACCTCAGGAGGTGCTTCAGAGAGGGAAGAAAGCAGTGTCCTGACCCTGAAGGTCTCTGAGCTTAGAACTGGGTTTGTGCCAACCTCTTTTTCCTCCATGCCAGTGACTAACAGAATGAGGGCAGGGAAGGGTTCAGAAGATGGAAGAGAAGAGGCAGTCTTACCTGGCCACTTCGTAGGCATGCTCTAGAAAAGAAGGAAGAATCAAATCAGAAGTCTCCATAGGGAGGGGACAAGGGTTAAAAGTGGACACTGGTTACCAGTCAAAGGGTAAGGGAAGCGGAGAGAGAAGGGGGGATTGGGAGGTATTGGGAAGGTAAACTGAAGCACAAGGATACAGATTTCTCAGAGAAAGGAAGAGGAAGCACACTTGGTTACTATCCTCTTTGGCATACTCTTGACTCAGGACATTGGGCTGGAACAGTTGTTTGGTGTGGTGGGGGAGGGACATTGGAACTGGACCCACTCCCCACCCAGGAATCTTGCCAAAGATTCCAGGGAGTTTTTGTGGCAACTTGGTGGCCAGGCCAGAGCCCAGGCAGAAGGGTCTGAATTAATCTGTCAGGGACCATGACCAAAGCCAAAATGCATTCACCTCCACGGTGCACCCAGGATAGGTCTTTAAATAGAACACCACTGCTCCCTAGTGTCTGTGGAGGAGAACTATCTACATTCCGTGAAGGCTTAAAGGCTCTAATAACCTGGTACAAAGATAGATGTCTCTTGGTACTGCCCTCTAGGAGTTTATAATCTTACAGGAATACAACTGGGAATGCATGCATTAAACCACAACAAAGCAAACAGAGCATGTCATACACCCTCTACTTTGTGATACAGCCATGTGTTTCCATGTCTTACCTCCCCCATTGGCCTGGTAGTTCCCATAACAGAGGGATTGTCTTTTTCATTATTATATACCCACTGCCTGGCACATAGTAGGCAATCAGTAACTACATATTACATTGAACTGATGGCCCAAGGCTATCTCTCTCTTATAGAGAGGTAAATAATAGAAATTTTGGGAAGGCAATCTAGATGGGAAAAAAACATAAGACCATGAGGTGTATGGCCTATCCTCCTTTGACTCCAGTGATTGGAAATGAAAATAAGGAGTGGTGGGGGTCAAGAGGATAGGCTACATCAGAGAGGACCTTAAATGGAATACAACATTTTGACTTCTATCCCCTGGGCCCTGAGAAGCCCTGGAAGGTTTTTGAGAGGGAAACAATCAAATATGGTTACAGTTTATACCTAGTCTCATTGAGACCATGATGACTATTTTTCCTTTAGTATTCCTGGGATTTGTGGCTACTTGAGATATCTCTACTTTCAAGTTCAGCCTCATGAGTCATAGCTATGCTAACTGGCCAAGACCAGAGTTTATACTTAAGACCCAGGAGAAGGAAATACTCAAGGCTCCTTTCTCCCCTTTGGCTGGAGAAAATCATGGTGGAGACCAGGCTACTTGGGAATAGGAGCTACTACAGAGAAAAAGACACTAATGTTAGGCAAAATGGCCAATGCAGCATGTATTGAGGTGTAGCTAGGTTTTACTTAGAAATCAACATCCAAACTCTCTTTTTCCTCTTCTGTTGGCTCACAGTTGTTAAATGGTCCTGACAACTGCACCTTCATAATGTCACTCCTTTGCTTAAAAAAAAACATTGTTGACTTTGAGTTCCTTTGCAAGGCCTAGAGAAAAATTTCCAAGTTCCTTAGGCTCTTATGTAAGACACTCCATAATCAGGAGTAAACTTTTCTTTTCCCCTGCATTTACCCATGTATTTTCTACATTGATGACCCCACTCACAGTCATCTTTTAAACATTTGCACCTTTACTCTTATAGTTCCTCCTTTCTGGAATGCTGCCTTCTAATTTGTTTTCATCCTCCAAGGCCTGGTTAATCACTTCTAATTTGTTTTCATCCTCCAAGCCCTTGTTAATCACTTCAGCCCTGACTCTCTTCTCTGAAAACCTTTAGCATTGATTGTTTTCTCCAGGTTTTGAGTCTATAGCCTATATTGCTATGTATGGATATTGATAAATTCCATGTTTCTACTTTGAATCTTCTAAATAAATTCTAAGCAGCCAAAGATTGTGACTTCTCTTTCTCTTACATCCTCGTTAGACAATCCATTACAGAGATGGCTTGTACTAGGCTTGGTACTAAGGATTTGTGAATTAACTTCAATAAATCATATTGCCATTGTTGGCTTGCATGTCTGCCTCCATGCACCCCTACCCTCAATCCCAAACTGTGCTAAGAGCACTTTGAAGTGCCCAGCACAGTGGCTGACACAGAATTTATGCTTAACTATACTCTCAGAATGAATTAATGAGCAAAGTCACTCAGTCATACTCATCACTCACCTTGCTGGGATGTCTTCCGGCAGAGCATAATATAAGCCATGATGAAGACCACCATACAGCACAGGGAAATTATGAGAACAATGGAAAAGACAGGCAGGCCCTTTCCTAGGAGGCAAAACAAGACA